ACAGCTAGCCAGATTGCAAAAGGAATGGATTATCCCCAATATTATCTTCTGAAGAACTAGACACATGATGTAGAAAGTGACTAGTACAACTTTGGAAGAATTATGAATCCCACAATATCTTTAATTCAGGTACCATGCTCAAAGATATGTCATTTATTTACATTGCTTTTTTGTTTGGAATGGATGTAACCGGATCATGAAATAGTTATCAGTGCAGTCATTATGGAAAACATCTTGAGCAGTGATCAGGAGCCAGGTGCTCTGCACCCGGGGCATTCCAACACAGGGATCATTCACATGCCTCATGACCTCCCACTGATGCTCCTGTGCTGCAGGTACCACTGCTGGGATTTCTGAGGTTAAGTCAATTACTGGAGTGCTAGAGTAATGAGGACAGGGACACAGTTCTAGCAGACTTCTCCTCGCCATAGCTGCCCTCAAGAGCTGTGTGGGGAAATTCAGTCACTTGTATAATAATATCTTGAGCCCAGAAAGAGTTCATTAAACCTCAGTAGATTATGTCCCAAACTCAACTCAGGACCAGTCTCAGAGTAAATCACATCACTTTATAGTCCTGTCACATGTATCTATTTAAGTGAGGCAACCAGGCATGTTCTGGTACTGCTCATAGGGGGACTGCTTTTCCTTCTCTTTTGTCCATCTGTCCTCTTCCCTAGCTGTGCAAGATGTGTGGCCTTTTTGAGAGGATTCCAGTCTCAACTGTTTAAACATTACTGGGTTCATCACAGATGGGAGTTGAAGAGTAATCTACTAATTCACAGTATTGTACAATAATGGAATGTGGCCATGAGCATCACTGAAGGAAAGAAGTATGTTCTGTATGAAGCTTTATAAAACCAAAAACTCTTGAGGAAAACTAATGAAATTCACTATCTTAAATATAATTTTGGTGGTCAGTATTCATCAATTAATATTAGCAAGATGAGTTCTCTTTTCTAAGCACAGTTTTTTTTGTATTAAATTCTTGTATTGGTACATTGTAGGCATACAACACAATTACATTTCTCATTGGGAATTGTACCTTTACATAATTCATCTTGGTTCTTATTTTTTCCCCATTCCTAGTCCTCCCTTCATGCCCTCCACCCTTCCTTATTTACAAAGACTTTATTTCCGTTTTTTCCATTTCTCATCATTTTTCCTTTCCCTTCTTTCCTTTCCCCTGCCCCTCCCACTACCCCTACCCCTTTGGACCTTTTCTTCCTATTTTACATTATCCATTATTCATTCTAATAATTGATACATTTTAGGTATACAATATAATGACATTCATCATTGGAAACTTGCACCTTTACATAGTCTCTCTTGGTTCTTATTTTTCACCCTTGCCCAGCCCTCCCTTCAACCCCTCCAGTCCTCCCTATTTACAAAGATTTTGTTCCTATTTTTCCATTTTCTCATATTAATCCCATTCCCTTCTATCCTTTCCCCTAGCCCTCCCACTTCTTTCCCCTTTGCCCCTTTTCTTCCTATTTCACATTACCTATTATCCATTTAGTCCTTATTTACACTTTCAGTTTCTCACACCAGAGAAACTATTCAGTATTTACACATGTGTGTCCTATTTATTTCACTTAAGAGTATTGCCTCAATGTGCATCCACTTAGCTATAAATGTCTCTAATTTCTCATTTTTTATGGCTGAGTAGTACTCCATTTTAAAGTTATACCTGACTATCCTGTATCTTTCCAGCAATAATCACTATGTGAAAGGAACACACACTAAATCAAATACAGAAGTAACTTCATGAAGGCTTAAAGATGAACAAAAATTTCCACATATGTTCAAATTAGTGACAGCTAGTGAAATAGTAATAGCGTTTTATAAAATGACAATGTCAAGGAAATATGTCTAGGGTATCAAACTATTTGTATTTTCCTATGGAAGGATTTACATCATTAATGATACAGGAATAAATATATGAATAAAAATAATAGCCACTTGCCCATAACAGAGCCTTGAAAGTGACACGTTATTGTCTTTCAGGCTGACTGATTCAATATTCATTTCATAATATCTTACTGTGCACCTAATTACTATATCCCCAAAACTGGGGTTACAGTGATGGAAGAGGGACTCAGTCACCATCCTTATGGCACTTACAGTTTAGGAATGAGATGATCAGGCAATACTTATAAGTAGATATGCGTGTGTATATAGTTATAAACAGGGACAATGGGATGAAAAATCACTGTTTTCATTACTACCTATTGTATTGCGACTTCTATTACCAAAAATGCATTGCAAATGCATTTGGTTCCAGTCTTTACATCATCCTGTTTAAGTAGGAGGCATTTAAAAATGCAGAAATTGGGGCAGGGGATTTAGCTCAGTGCTTCCACTGCCTGCCTCGCAAGTGCAAGGTCCCGTGTTCAATCCCCAGTACCAAAAAAAAGAAACGCAGAAACTGAGATGTACTTAAACAATTATATTTGGAATAGTATACAGATCAAAATCAGTTTGGTTTCTGAAGAGCTTCAGCAGAGTGAAGGAGCACAACGGAGTTAAGGTGGGAAGAGAAAGCAAGGCCAGGTTTCGAGGGTTCAACACAGATCAGCGTGCAGGCTTTTGTCAAGGGGAGAAGGGACGATCAAAGCCCTCCCTTTGTGAGTTCGTGAAGCTGATTATTTCTGGAACACTATTAGGAGCGATGAGCATAATGTGTATGACAGGAAGAAGCAATGCTTAGGAATATGACTGAAGGGATTACAACAGTGATTGTTCAGTGAGGGGGTGGGTTATTAATATATCTATGGGACTGAAAAGAAAAGACAAGTATAGGCTGTACTGGGGAATAAGACATTTTGTGAGGCAGTAATTGTTATAAACTAAATGTTTGAATCTCTCCCTCCCAAATTGATATGTTGAAATCCTAAGCAAAATGTGATGAGGCTTTTGGAAGTTCATAAAATTATGAAATTGGAGTATTCATGCTGGGATTTATGGTCTTATACTAAGAGACAGAACAAAAGAGACTCACAAAGGAAAAACAAACAGATATTAGCACAAAATTTTCTTTTCAAAGAACTAAGATAAACCAATAGTATAAATAAGTTAGCATATATATTAAAATACTTTTGAAACAGTAATGTCTTGTACTTTGAAGATAATGATACATAGTATATTAACTATTGTTATTCTCTTATTATTTTGTTACAAAATTGTGTTTCATTTTTCATGAAATAAAACTATAAAAGACAGACCTTTGCTTCCATTCTCTGCTGTTTATCACATGAGGATTCAATGAGAAGAAAGCTAAACAGAAGCCAGGAAGTAGGTGTTCACAGAAATCAGCTCTGAAGGCACCTTAATCTTAGACTTGATCTCCCAGAACTATAATAAATGAACTGTTCTAGCAGCTCTAGCTGGCTACAGTGGTAACTGGATACAGAAGACAGACCTTTTGGAATTAAAGTCCAAGACTGCAAAGTGAATAGTTGAGCTCTTAGCATAAAGCAAGATGGACAATCTTGAGGTGGCCTTTGAAACCAACAAATGTGAGGTGCCAATGGCACATCCAGCTGAAGCTAAATAGAAAAGGCAAGACTAGTAATACCATTTATTTTTGCATTAGAGTAATACTGTTGCCCCTAATTAGTTTTTTATTTGAAGAAATAATTTTAAGCCTTCTTTTTTTTCCAACTAAATAAAAAGATGCAAGCAAACAATGTCTTAAGAAATACAGATTTGACCCCTTCATAGAAGTGACTGATGATGATACTCAAAGGGACAGTCTTCCAAGATAGAGTAGGTAGGTGTCTTAGTTACTTTTCTCTCATTGTTGAGACAAAATACCTGAAATCTAAAGTGAATGGGAGAAAGGTTTATTTAGCTCATAGTTTGTAGAAGTTTCAGTCCATTGTTGGCTGGCTCCAAGGTAGGGGGCCAGGGCAATAAGGCATCACAGAGGAGAAAAAGTTTATGGCAGGCAGAAAGTACCAAAGCAAGCAAGAGAGAAAACAAGCCTCTTTCTGTCCCTTATATTGTATTCAGGCTTCCAGGACTAGGCCGCTGCCAAACCAGTCAGTGGATGGATTTAGTAATCATCCACCTTTAATGCTAGCACTATTAATCCTAGCATTGTACCATGAATCAGTCACACACTCTAGATCCAGCCATCTCTGAAAGAGCCCAACTATGACTGCATGAGACTTTGGGGTGACGTATAGACACAAGGATAACAGTAGAGAAGTGCTCTCTGAGGGAATGTTACAATTGGTTATGAAAAGATGTCATGGATGACAGAAAGTAACCAAATCAGGAGGGTAGAGAACAATGGCATCTGAGGGAATGGAAGCAAAGTAATCAGCAAAATTAAGTGCTAGGGAGAGACTGGCTATCCAAAGCCTGAAAGTGGGGACTAGGTTAGAAAGGGAAAGGTTGTACTAGTTGCTAATTGTTAATCATTCTTCTAAAATTAGAATTGCTCTCAGAATCCATCACTGTTGCCAAATGCCTAAAAACTCTGCATAAAGCTCTATCATTTTACCACTTTTCAAGAGCAAAGTGTGAGCATCTTTACCTCATTGCTAACAAATGTAAGTGCTAAAAGAAACACAGAGACTGCCTATTTACATTTTCACTCTTTTGTATGAGATTCCTTGGGGGAAGGTGCCAGTCCTTAATCATCCCTTCTTTTTAACAGATAAAACATTAAAGCACTTGGAAACATCCAGATTATTTATAAATCTGTCATAAAAGAGAAAATGGAAGGCAGGCTCTGAGATTGCTTTTAACAGCCTTATCTTCAATTTATTATGTTGGACCACATGTTCATATAAGAGTAACACACAGTTTCAAGTTACTTTTTAGGACTCAATTTCTATAAGATAGTTCATCAAAGGAGATTTTCTTTAATCATATCAGTGCATGGCCTAACAGTTTCTAATTATATCACATTAATATCATAATATATATCTCACTGTTCATTGATTCTTGTTAAATCAACAATCTAATTAAGGAATTATGGAGTCAAATACCTGTGGTACCCATTTGGAGGACACAAAGCTGGTCACTTCTATTACGGACAAGCCAGTTTGGGAAAGTTGATTGATGAATTCAATTTTTATATCTGTAGGAAATATAACCTATAAAAACATAAAAAATATTTATAAGTAAACCATATAGGATCTATTGGAGCAAAAATGACAAATTGGTTTCTAACTGAAAGCAAATATGATTTATAAATTAAAATAGCAAACAATAATATAAATCCACATCTTTAAAATGTAAGAAACATTAATATTTAGACTTAGCATTTGAAATACACTCCGTAAAATTAAAATAAACCTACCCTTTCATTCTGCAGTCCATCCCTAGGTCCAACTTCTACTATTTTAACATACTCAGGGAGTCCAGGTAATTGGTCTGATTCCTTAAATGCAAAAAATAAGGACAAGAAAACAGATAACTTTTAAATTGCCAGACAGAACTACTGGAAAAATCAAACAACTATACTTTGTTAAGTAAATTCTCAACCCAGAAATTTAAAATGGTAAAAAAATCAACACAATGAGATAATCCAAATACCCTGTTTATGTTATTTGTAAGATGACATGAAGCCATTTCTTCTTTTAGCTCAGTGATATTCAATATAGTTATGATTTAAATTCCAAAGAATAATTTCTAAAAAATATAATTGTGAAGTAAGTAATTCAATTAGCATCTAATCTGTTGAATAATTCTGCACTGTGTTGATAAAATTGTATTTTTAGAAAATTAGACCTTCAGCCACCTAGAGTTCTATGAGAAGTCACACACAATGCTCCAACTCTGGGTATGGAGTTGGGATTTTGGTTTGTGCTCAGAAAGCTGAGGTTAAAGAACAAAGTGTGCTGCTTGCTTCTATTGTGTCACACAGCACAGCCACCACCTAATGTCTTCTTGCTGATGACACATGACTAGGAGGACATGATCCTCAATATCCCCTGGCAGATTAGCTCCACCCCAACGTAGGGAACACCTCGTTTTAGCTTTTGGCCAAATCTAGAGTGATAGATAAATGGTTTGGATACTAGAAACATTTTGTCCCTCAACTAGGTATGATAGACCTAAATAGTTTAAGATGCACTTGCTTTCTAAATACTTCTAATAAAACAGTTGCTATTTAAGGCAAGTAGTACTAGCCATTCAAGTTTCTATCACACTTTAAAGCAGCAGTAAGATACATCTTTTCAGACTGGACCCACATAATCTCGTCTCTCTGAGCACAGTGCTAATAATGCAACATCAAGTTTTTCAAATGGATAGTTGGTAGGTTCAACTCAGATCCACAGAACCTGTGTGCTAAAATGTTTTGTTCTGCCTTTCATCAGAAATGATGAATTCAAGCTGACCAGTTCATCCTGTCTCCCTCTTTGCTTGAAACCAGTCATTGGCTTATGCTGGTGAGGTGACTACTTTGAATGAACAACCCCATTTGCATCCATGACACAGAAGAATCCTTGCCAGCCCTTTTAGTGTCCAAAGTTATCACTGGCTTTATTAGCTTCTGTTCTAATTCAGTGAAAGAACTCAGATGGTCCCTGATAAAATATTAACAAATTACCCTCCACAATTCCCATGAGTGAGCAATGGATTAAAAAATTATCAAAGAAAAGTATTCTCATTTCTGCACCTTCTGCTCATGCTGTGGTCCATGAAATTAACCTAAGTGGAGGGTTGAGAAGGGAGCATAGATTTTTCATTATTAGGCTGTTTTGGATGGCAATCCTGAAATCATGCCTAATTACTGAGTAGTAAACAAAAGACATAGCATAGGAAGATGGAGTTAATGAGAGAACCTCACTCTTCTTTCTTGTTATCTCTATCCCTAAAACACAGAAATCAAACAGAAACAAAACAAAACCAGACAGTCTTAAGCCATGCAATCTCATTATCAGTGACTTTCCCAAGACTATATTTTCAAAAGCAATTAACTTGAGGGGCCAGGGATTTAGCTCAGTGGCACTGCGCCTGCCCTGCAAGTGTAAGGTCCTAAGTTCGATCCCCAGTACCAAAAAAAAGCAATTAACTTGAAGCATACTGGACAAACAATGATTATTTAGTAGATGGCAATGTTTACCCAAAGAAGGAGTACAGTGTTTTTAAAGATGATAACAAGATACTGAGGATAATTAAAGAGCTAAGTACCTTCCTTTGCAGTAATGCAATGTACCTAGCACCATTCATGAGAAGTAGGATGATATCCAACAATTGTGGCCATTTCAGACAAACCAAAAGATATGCTTGATACGATTTTAGCGTCTTTATTAATCTGTTGCTACTACTTAGTCTTTCTAGACAATTTGAATTATGCTGGTGACAGAAGAAAATCCCTAATACAATCAACAAATAATTATTGATCACAGCCCATGTGATGTACAATATGTTGGCTCTTAGTACATGTCAAAGTATAACCAATAGTAATGGGACCAATTGACATTAAGTAGTAAGAGAGAAGGTAAAGAATAGTATGCGATGGAAAATATCTGAGGGCAGGTGTGTTCTGGTGGTGAGAAACTGAGCTCAGTTTTGTTTGGTTGGTATTTTTGGAACTGGGGATCGAACTCGGGACCTTGTGCTTGAGAGACAGGCGGCGGAACCACTGAGCTAAATTCCCAGCCCCCTGAGTTCAGTTTTGAATCTCTGGGTTGTTTGTGTTTGTGCACCATTTAAGTGGATTTTTTGACTGACCATTACTTGTGCATATGAAGCTCTTTAGAAAAGATATGATGAGATAGTAACGCCTAAGAAGAGGCTAGAGATCAAGAAAGGGCTCTCACATGGCAAATAGTTAACAAATGTGTGTTAAATCTCAAAGATGAATCCTGGAGAATGAAAAAGCTGAGGGACAGCCAGAGGACGCTGACACAGGCCTGGGTGCACTGCGGGGACTGAATGTGGAGGACTTAACACTTCATCCTGGGCAGTCAGCGTGCCTGTTTTTGCTCCAGAGGAAGATACTACCTCTGTCTTCCAAGTCTGTTTTCTAGACCAGCATCCTTTAAAAGACAATCCTAAAGAAAAGTGTCCAGTGCGTTGCTACTGACATATGCAGCTATGCAAAGACCCAACTATTACCTCCATTAATATTTGGTTATTTTCCTCATCTAAGACTTAGTTCTTATCCAAGATACCATTTGTAATCTACTCAAGACCTCTTCAGATAGAATTTCCTGTCTACATTCCCATAACAAAACCTATTTTAAAAGATATCTGTAAGTCCCTTTCTCTCATAAACTCTTGGGAGTTACAAAACTGATCACATAAAGACTTGATCAATGTTTTTTAAATGAGTGACTTGAAATGTGTTATGTACATGTAACAATTCCCCTACAGTGAGTATAATCATTATGTACTGCAAATGTGTACTAATAAAGTCAAAAAGTAAAATAAATAGATGAATGAATGCATTCATGCATAAAAGTTAGAAAAGTAATGTTGACCTTTCATTTAGCCAACACTTGTTGGCTAATGCAGTCACTTGATATATGAAATGAACCCTACAAAGAAAAATTCCTCACCAAAACTAGCTTACACGTTATTGGCACAAGGATCTGCATGCTAACATGAGGCTGGGATGGAGGAGCGTTTTTCATACATCATGAAAGTGTGAGAGTTACCAAATGATGAGTAAGTTACAAGGAGCTGAATTAAAAAAGAAAAAGTCTGCAGAAGTTATCAATCTAGTCCTTAAATAGGCATAAAGTCTGAAATTTATTTTTATAGCATTAAAAGTCCTATGTTACTGAGCTCAGTGTATCCTTTTAAAAGTGCAGTATAGTATATGATACTAGTGAAAAACAAAAGATGTATTATCCAGACTGAGGGTTTTAAGGAGCTGTGTTATTCATCTGGGTGTATGCCCACATTTGGCTTCAGATTTCTAATGGCTCACTTTCACAGAGCAACAACAAAAGAAATACTACCTTGCATTTATATGTTGCTTTATTTTTCCAAAGAACTTTTTTCTATCTATATTTCATCTGTGAAGCTACACTATTTGTAGGCAGAACTGAAAGGGAGATTAAATGACTTTCTAAATTTTCCCTGCTAAGTTCACTGGCTCCTATTTTACTTTTTAAAAAATTTTTAAGATGAGATTAAATACATCAACTATTGAGTTTTGCTTGAAAAAAATGAACAATTCTTTTATGCAGAACATAATCTGCACTACTCATATTTTCAATCATATATAAAATAAAATGAAAGGCATATTTTGATGTGAACTTCTGTGGAACCATTTGTGGTTATGTATAATATATGTTTCCTAGCAGACATAATGGGTGACATTATATAGTCAACCCTTTTCGTGGCAATAGATATGATTCTTTAGTATTTATCCCACAAGTACTGCTTTTTCCCCCTACTAAAATAATATGATACATAGGAGAAGTTTCTGCACAGATTTGTATATGTTCCACTCACTTCATTTCTTGAGCAGTAATTTTTTGTGTAAATAAAGTCTTTATGTATATTGAAGTATCCTGTTTCATAGCCACTATTCCCAAGGAGAATGCTTATGATGGTCAAATCAAATGCTCCCACTGCACGGATGAGAAGTCTGAATCAGGAAATTGTGTGATTTTCTTTTGAAATTAAATTAAACTTCTTAATAAATTAGATATCAACTTTTCCAAAATGATATATTTTTGTCATTTTGTCTGAAATATGCAATTGGTGCATTTTGTGGTAATGTTAAACTTTCCACACTGTGCTGTTTGTTATTTCTTGGATATTGATGTCTCTTTTAACCCAATTTAATCAGAAACATATAAACAATTATCACTGATGTAATAGAAACCCACGAGAGCCGTGGTGCTCTGGAGCAATCAAAAGACTTTTCTCTTTCTGCGAGCCTCTCTAGAAGAAAGAAAGGAGCGAATAAACTAAGATGATACTTGAATCTTCTGTGAGAATATCCGTGGACTGGAGTTAATTCAAAGGCACTCTTGTCAATTCAATAAGAATGTATTTGCCAACTATTAAAAGTAAGTTAATAATGTATTATTAAGGCACATAAACCTCTATGAAGAAAATTTCTTAATTTATTAACTCAAAAGGTAAAGGGCGGTATCCACAGACATTTTAGCATTTTGTGGACAGCCAGAAGCAAAAGTAGAGAGTGTGTGATTATTTGTTTCCCCACAGACTTCAGTCAAAATTTTAACAGAGATCAAAAGCAATCTCTCAAAATGTGAACACTACTTCATATGCACATATACTAGTGACTGTTCTTGGCATTTAAAGAAAAATCGGTGGGTGTCAGTGTGGATACACAGCATGGCTAAATATAAATCTCTTTTTAAAATAGATACATTTCACAAACACTTAGAAGAATCAAGGGCAGTTACAAAAAAGCAGAACAACACCATGCAAGGTCATCTGCCACAT